TTTGAACTAATGATTCGGTGCCTGAATAATTACTGCAACTGCCCTTACGAACTTCCCTGAGAACATTTTCAGTATCTCCCGGTCCCAAACATATTGCTAGAGGGCCATCGAACATTCTCCTAAACAAGGTTCCATTCTCGGACAAGCTGAATCGGGCTGCCTTTATACGTAGGTCCCTCGATTCCTTGGGATTTGAGGGAAGTTTCCTGGTCTTCAAATACTCTATGTATATATTACTGCAATCCCAGGTTAAGCTTGTAGAGTTTATTTCGGCGTTACCTTCCTCTACTACCGACCTCATAAGTTGTACGATCGCCCCCGAGTTAAGCTCGTTGTCTTTGACTGCGGACCCTAAGTTTGCAAGGGCATCTGCCTCACTATTTTGATCTCGGGGCACGTACTGCAAAGTCCGCTCTTTGATTCGATGTAACGTTACTTGTAGCTTGTCTAGGTACCTTTGCATTCGTTCTTCTCTGACTTCGAACGTTCCGTTTACTTTCTTTACTACAAGGAGGGAGTCACACTTAGCTTCAATCTCCGCCCCCAAGCCTTTGGCTAGTTCGAGACCTACAATCATGGCCTCATATTGGGCTTCGTTGTTAGTCAATTTTACAGTTCTAATGGATTGTCTAACTATATTTCCTATAGGTTGCTCAGTACAATGCCAAGTCTGGACCTCTTATGTTCAAGGGACCATCCATAAAGAGGTCCAGATTCCTTACGGCGTTCCCGAGTTTACCAACAACTCTTTTTCGACTTCGGGTATTAGGGCCGGCATAAAGTCGGCCACGAAATCTGCCAAAATTTGGGATGTAATGGCTATTCGGGTTGATATTTGATATCGTACCCGCTGATTTCTACGGCACATTTGGCAATCGTCCCGAGAGTTCGGGTTTATGCATTATATTTTGTAGAGGGTAGGTTGTCATAACACATATACAATGGCACTGAAAATATGGTTTCAGTTTTCTAGAGGCACTTAGCAAGGCGAGTGACAATTTTTCTAGGTGAGGATATCTAGTTTCGGCCTCACCTAAGGTCCTACTAACAAAATAAATTGGAAATTGCATACCTTGTTCTTCCCGAACGAGGACTCAACTTACCGCTATTTCCGATACTGCTAGATACAAGTATAGTCATTCGTCTGCTCTCGGCGTGTGAAGAAATGGCGGGCTCGATAAATATCACTTAAGTTCTTCTAAAGCCCGTTGGCTTCCGGGGTCCATGTGAAGTTGTTTTTCTTCTTCAGCAACAAGGAAAATCAATGGCTTTTATCGGAAGACCTCGAGATGAATTGCCCCAGTGATGCGATGTGCCCGGTTAGCCTTTGTATGGCCTTGACATTATCCACTACAGTGATATCCTCGATGGCTTTGATCTTGTCGATGTTGATCTCGATTCCTCGATTGGACACCAAGAACCCGAAGAATTTACCTGATCCGACTCTGAACGCACAATTTTCTGGACTTAGCTTTATATTGTACTTCTTCAATATGCTGAAGGTTTCCTACAAATGCTTTAAACGGTTCACTGCTCGCAGGGACTTAACTAACATATCGTCAATGTAAACTTCCATGGATTTTCCTATCTGTTATTCGAACATTCGGTTTACTAGTCGTTGGCAAGTGGCACCGGCATTTTTTAATCCAAATGTCATTACGTTATAGTAGTATATGCCATACTTAGTGATGAAAGAGGTCTTTTCTTGATCATTCTGGTTCATCCATATTTGGTTACACCCGGAGTAGGCATCAAAAAACTGAGGATCTCGTGGCCGACCATGGCATCGATCATGCTATCGATGTTTGGAAAAGGGTAGGAATCTATGGGGCATGCCTTATTTAAATCTTTATAATCCACACACATTCTTAGTTTGTTCCCCTTTTTAGGAACTACCACTACATTTGTTAACCATTCTGGGTAATTTAAGGAGTTTAGTTACCTCGTCCTTGATGAAGGCATGCTTGATCTCGGACTGGGGTCTCTTATTCTGTTTTATTGGACGGAACTTCGGGTCCAAACTCAGCTTGTGAGTAGCGATCTCCGGTGGGATCCCTGTCATATCAGATGGGACCAAGCAAAATAATCCATATTAGCTATAAGAAATTGAATGAGTATTTTCCTGAGCTCGGGAGTTAACCCCGTGCCCAGGTATACCTTTCGATTAGGCAAATGTTCAATCTGCATGACCTGCTCCATCTATTTGACTGTTGATTTGGTAGCATCGGAATCATCGGAAGCTATAAAGGATCGAGGAACCCCGTAATCTTTGTCTTCGTCAATCCCTTGCTTGTCCGATTAGGTCGAGGCTGGTATCGATGATTGCTATTTGGCTTCTTGTTTTGCTTTTGAAACTGAGCCCTTTTGTCGATGAGTGTGTTGATATCGTAATTACTTTATCAATGGCAAACATCTCCTTTGCAGCAGGTTGCTCCCCGTTAACCGTCTTAATCCCTTCTGGTGTTGGAAATTTTAATACCTGGTGAATGATCGAGGGCACGACCCTCATATTGTGGATCCATGGTCTCCCGAACAGGGCGTTGTACCTCATGTCCCCTTCGATTACATAAAACTTGATGTCCTGGGTGGTACCGGCGATGTTATTTCTCCCGTAGTAGTTTTGCAAGCCATGTTGAAGCCGTTTAGCACTCGGGCCGTAGGTACGATCTGGTCCTGTAGGCCGAGTTGCTCTACGACCCTCGATTGAATAATGTTGGACGAGCTACCTGGATCAATTAGCACACGTTTGACTCGAGTTTTATTCATGAGTACAGAAATTACCAGTGCATCATTATGGGGTTGCATGATTCCTTCTACATCCTCGTCGTTGAATGATAGAGTCCCCTCTGGTATGTAATCTCGAGTCCGTTTTTCCCTTGTGATTGATACTTTGGTGCGCTTTATCATCAGACCTTGAGGAACATCGACCCCTCCGATGATCATATGGATGAGGTGCCATGGCTCGTCTTGTTCATTTTGTTTATTGGAATCTCTATTTCTGAAATGACTCTTAGCTCGGTCACTCAGCAATTCTCGAAGGTGACCATTGTTAAATAAACGGGCTACTTCTTCCTTCAATTGTCGACAATCCTCCGTTCTATGGCCATGTGTGCTGTTATATTTGCATATTTGGTTGGGATCCCTTTGTGTTGGATTAGTTTGTAAAGTTCGAGGCCACTTGATATCTTTGATGCGTCCAACGGCCGATATGATGGCAACTGCGTCCATATTAAAGTTGTACTCCAATATTGTGGTGCCTTTTTGGGTCCGATAGATCTATCATAGCCGTTCTTGCTCATGAGTCCTCACGAGCTTTGACCTTGATCGATTCTTCTTTCATTTTGTGTAGAGTTTCGCCCGGATCCGCTGCTCCTACGATCTCCATTATACGGCTGATATCGATCTCTGTTCGACCTCGGTTCTCGGTCAATATCCCTCTTGATTCTATCGACGAGTCTAATAGGATAAACGGACCCAGAAGGGGACCCAAGTTGATCGTCCTCGACCCTGATATTTGATTGATACAAATTATGCACATCGGCCCAAGTAACAGCCAGGTATTCTATCAAATTCTACTTCAACTGCTGTGAAGACACTGAGCTTCGAACATTGAGTCCTTAAGTGAAAGCTTGAATAAGCGAATCATCAGCAACCGGTGGCAAGTCCATCTATTCCATTCGGAATCGAGACACGAATTCTCTTAGCATTTCATTGTTCTTCTGCCTTACCTTGAAAAGGTCCGACTTTCTGGTTTCAACAAAGATGGCTCCGGCGTGTGCCTTTACGAAAGAATCTGTGAGCATAGCAAATCAGTCAATAGAATTAGGTGGTAAATTATGGTACCGTATCATAGCTCCCTTTGACAAGGTCTCCCCGAATTTCTTTAGCAAGACAGATTCGATCTCGTCATCCTCTAGATCATTCCCTTTGATAGCACACATGTAAGAGGTGACGTGATCGTTTTGATATGTCGTTCCATTATACTTAGGAATCTCGGGCATGCGGGACTTCTTAGGGATTGGCTTTGGAGCCGCGCACGGGGGAATGTTTTTTGTACGAACTTCTTGGAATCTAGTCCTTTCAATATTGGCAGTTCCCCCGGGATTTGATCAACCCTGGAGTTGTAAGTTTCCACCTTTTTGTCATTTGACTCGATCTTCTTTTCCCTCGACTCAATTCGCTTTGTCAGTTCTTCGATCATCTTCATGATTGCAGGATTGGTCTCGGATTCCTTCAGTCGATTTTCTTGAAACCGATTCGACCCTATGTACAACTTCCTGGGACGGCTCGAGCTCGACCCTGCTCGGTGGGTGATTCTGATTTTGGAGTTGGGCTATCGTTGCCTGCTGATCGAACATCCCCACGGACGCCGCCTTTGGGATCGACGGCCATGTTTTCATTGATGGCCATATGTGAGCTGACGTTATTAAGATCTACAACCGGAACTCCATTGAGGCCAACCGGAGGTATATCGTTCCCTGGTGCTATATTATCATTTTTGCCGTGGTGGCAAAAATTATTGTCAACGTGTAGAGGTTCTGAGTGAGAGTTTTACATTTTAGTCCTGTAATCAAAGATACTTCAAAAAACAAGTGTAAAATAGTATGTGTTACGAACGTTTGTACCGGGTAATCACTATTATCCTTATCCCCACGGTGCGCCAAACTGTTTACCCTTAAAAACGGATAACAATTGAATTTATACGCGGTTTTAAGGATATGTGATATAACTTGGTACAAATTTCAGAAAATAGATCAATATTGAAATTGACAATAAAAGAATAAATGCAAACCACACAAGGTGAATAGCCTTGGCCCTCGAGTTCAGTTTCTCTTGAACCAAAAGATGCTTCAACTGACTTATCAATAGAGTAACAAAGTAATGAAAGCTAGAAAATGAAGTATATTGCTTTGTATTGCGTGAATATGATGTCTTTTACAAATGATCAGACCCCTTTTATATAGTAGGGGAGTCCTACTCTTGATACAGTTCTATATGAGGTAAGAAATCTCATGATTAGCTATTTAACCGGCCTCTTCTTGATACGTGCCAGGATTTCGGCCATGATCCTCGCCAGATTGCGGATGTTTCGGCTTTTCGTTATTTGGCTCGGTAAGTTCCCCTCGATCTTGCTCGATCTCTATCTTGCTCGGTCTCGATCTTGGCCGATCTCGATCTTGATCAGTCTCTGGGTCACGATCTCGACGATCTAACTTTGCACCATGGTCCAATTTAACACGAGGTCGAACCTTGGCCTACCATATTCCAGTATCGATTAGTCACACAAAGGGCAAGCCCGGTTTTGACCGTATACAATTATTAATACAAATTCCTTATTGAGGCTAATCGAACCGAGAAAACACATAAAATGGCTTCATTTTACTATCTGTTTACCTAAGATTGATAACTTATTCCTGTAGCAGAAAATAATAAAGGTTCTTCCACCTCGAGCCATGATCATATATATTCATATTCGCATTTCATGCTAACTTTATAACTAGTAACATAACCATCAAAACTACATAGTGAAGTATGACCATCAGGTTTGAATCTTGGAGTCATTTTTATTAGGGAAGCATTATCTATTTAAGTGGGATGTCATGGTGTGAATCCAGATTAATCAGATCCCAAATGATTATTGGACAGTGGGTAGGAAACAAGAAAATAATAACCATCGAAATTTCAAATAATACCTAGTACAATGTTGATGCTAAATACAATTGTTTAACATCTAGACTTTGATAGCGTGAAAAGAAAAAGTTTATATTATTTTGTCACCTTGAGGTAAATATTCTCACAATTAGTGGTAACCTAACAAATAAATGTATCACTACTATTGTTTATATGTAAAGTTTTTAATTTCCTATAATAAGTACAGTGTGAGCTGTTTATCTTAGAAAGATAGACTCGGACTTCTCTCCAAAAATAACACTGTCACGAACACGATAACCACCAACATAGAACCCTCTCCCCCTATTCCCCTAAACCACATGATGGGACTTACACCGTTATGGAGGAAGACACAACTCCACCACATTCCTGCAACAAAATCCTGCTTGACAAGAATAAAATCATACAATCTCAGTACTATGAGAATGAACCGACTACTAATGATACCCTCGATAAGAGGAAAGGTAAACATGGCTCTATTCCATTATCACAGGAGGATAAGAACCGAATATACCACACATGGTGATTCTCGCTCGTTATTAAGGTATTTGGCCAAAGGTCATTCCAAGAATATCTCCGCTCCAAACTTGTTGATCTTTGAAAATCATACGAACAGTTAATCTTGATTGGCTTAGGATGTGATTTTTTATTGTCAAATTCGAACTAGAGAAAAACATGGTGAAAACATTACATGAAGGGCCATGGTTCATAGCTGTCAATTTCCTTTCTGTAAAACGGTGGGAGCCAAAGTTTGTCTCGGAGGCAGAACCCTGTCATCCACTTCCATATGGATTTGCCTACCACAACTTCCTACGGAGTTCTACGATAAAGATATCTAGGAAAAAGTTGGCAGAAAACTAAGAAAGCTGCTCAAAGTAGACACATGTCATGACCCAAAACCACCCATCGATCGTGATGGCGCCTAACTCACTTGCTATACAAGCCGGACTAAATAAAAGAGAAAAAGATAACAGAAATAACGAAAATAGTACAACTCTAAAGCCAATAACATAAATAAAATCGTTAATATACGATAATCCACCATAACTGGTAATACCGAGTTACGGTCTCTAAAATAGAAGTACAGGTCTGGAATACAAAATAACAATGCTATCTAAATGAAAATAACATTACTAATATGAAAAGTGTCATGACACCAATTTCCCACCTTAGAATGTCGTGATGCCACCTAGTCTCTAAGACTAGGTAAGCCTAACCAACAAGAGAATATGACGGAAATAAAGACTGAAAACAAGATTTAAACTAATAAGTCTCATAATAATATCAAAACTGAATCACAGTAAAATATGTTCCCAAAACCTAGTGGACTGAGTCATAACCTCTACAGGAAAGTACTAAAATATTAATATAAATCACTGTCTGAATAAAGGAGAAACGGTAATAAGGGATAGCAGAAGGTGAATCCAAGGCTTGCGGACGCTGAGTAGGTATACCTTGAAGACTCTAGAAGTAGCAAATCAACCACGAGTCTCCGTCAAAGGCAGATGTACATGAATCTGCACAAAAATATGCAGAAGCGTCGTATGAGTACACCATAACGGTACGTAGTATGTATCAAGCCTAACCTCGGTAGAGTAGTGACGAGGCTAGGTTAAGATACCTACTAGGATAAAATAGAAGTAACGGAGTATAACACAGTCTAAATATGGAAAGTGAGGAAGTAAATGACAAGTAAAATTTCAATAACGTAAACTAACAATGGAAGTTTAAGCAGTACAGGCAACAAAGGGTAAACACATGATGAAACTAACAAGGAAACAAATACCGGTAATTTCAAGTAAGGCAATGAAGAAATAACAATAACTATTCAATAAATAAGACCTTTTAAATAGAGTGCACAACAAGAAATCACAACCCAAGTACCGCCTAATTTTCACATTTCATAATTTAAATCACAATCTTTATTTATACCACCGTGTGAGCCTTACATTTAGTTTTGAAAATCATTTTTCCCGAAATAGCCACACGTGTTTTAGCCCACTTATCTCGTCGCGTGGATTCAAGTAGTTCCCTACTAGAAACATGCGTATCAAGCCTACCTTATCTCACCACATGCATATCAACCTTTATCCTTATATCACCGCATGCGTATCAATATCACAACACATCACAACTCGCACCACAAGTGCCCATATGCCACAACATGGCAATAGATCAACAATACTAATGTTTCCACAACAAATAGCACATGGCTCAATCACAATATATATACAATAATCTCAATAACAACAAGATAAATGAGGAATGCTCAACTATGAAAGGTACCTCAACAATTAAATACTTCACCTCAATGTGATAGCGGTTTTTACAACTTCAACACCAATAACTCGACAAGAAGATATTCCACGAAATAACAACCTCAAGTAAGAGTAATTTAGCAATAAAGAGGTAACAAGACAATAAGAAAAATAACGACTTCAACTAAAACATACGAGAGCAAATATAACAAGTAACAAGTAGAACAAGTGCTAGCACGTCAACTAACGCATGTAAGAATAGATTAACAAGTGTAAAAGTACATTAACAAGTGTAAGATGTGACATGTTATAAAAATTCAATTAAATTCATTGAAAGAGCCTAAATAGCGTAAACCGGTTAAATACCACATATAGCCCGTGTACCCACTCGTCACCTTGCGTACATGGCTCTCACATAACACAAATAGCACAATCTACCCAAATCCTAAGGGTTAGTTTCCCCCACACAATGTTAGGCAAGATACTTAAATAAAACAAGCTAAATCAACCCATTAGTAAGCCTTTTCGGCGAAAATCCAACTCCGGACGGCTCAAATCCAACCAAAATAACTTAATACTATTAATACAAACCATAGAAACTATTCCGGATAATAAAGTTGCAATCTTTAAAGAAATCGAAAAGTCAAACCAAAAGTTTAACCCTGGGTCCGCACCTCAAAACCCAACCAAACTATAAAATCCAAAGACCCATTGAAGAACGAGTTCAACCGTAAAAAAATTTGTACAATTTTGACCTGAAAATCGACCTTCAAACCTCCATTTCTCATTTTTGAAAAGTTTCTACAAAATTTCTCATTTCTTCACTTTAATTCACTAATTAAATGCTAAAAAAGTTAGCAAATCCAAGTCAAAAAACACTTACCCCGATCAAAATCTTGAAAGTCCCCTCCAAAATCGCCCAAAACCGAGCTCTACAACTCAAAATATGAAAAATAACACTAACCCTCGATTTGGGTTTTAATATTCCGCCCGGGTGCTCACCCTTCACGAACGTGGAAGAAGTCTCGCGTTCACGAAGCACAATTCCTCCTCCATCCAAAATTACTATTCGCGAATGCGACGTCCGAGACGCGAACGCGATGCCCAACTAGGACACGTCTACGCGAACGCGAGACCTCTCATGCGAATGTAAAGGCTTAAGCCCCCAGTGCCCCTCAGCCGACCTCTCTTTTATGTGAGCGCGATCGCCCTCTCGTGTTCCCGAAGGGAACTGACCTCCAAAGCTTCGCGAACGCATTCCCTTCCTCGTGAACGCGAAGAAACATTCACCAGATACCAGATCAGTTGTCCAAACATGAAGAGATTGGTCCGAAACTCGTCCGTAAAACACCCAAGGCCCCGGACCTCAACCAATCATACAAACAAGTTCTAAAACACAATACAAACTCGCTTGAAGCCTCAAATCGCATCCAACAATACCAAAACCATGAATTGCAAATCGAATCAAGCCCAATGAACTAATGAATTTCCAACTTCGAATACTAATGTCGAATCATATCAAACCAACTCCGAATGACCTCAAATTTTGCACACAAGTCATAAATGACACAGCAGACGTATTCCAGGTTCTAAAATCGATATCCGATCCCGATATCGATAAAGTCAACTATCAATTAAACCTCTCAACCTTCTAAACCTTCAACTTTCCAACTTTCGCCAATTCAAGCCAAAACGACCTACGGACCTCCAAATCAATATCCGGACATACTCCTAAGTCCATAATCACCATACGAAGCTATCAAAACCATATAAACTCTATTTTGGAGTCGTCTACACAAAATTCAAACTCCGGTAAACTCTTCTAACTTAAGCTTCCAACTTTAGGACTAAGTCCCCAATTCACTCTAAAACTCTCCCGCAACAAAACCAACAACCCTGGCAAGTTACATAACCACAATTGAACATAAAGGAGGTAATAAATAGGGGAACAAGGCTAATATACTCAAAACAACCGGCTGGGTCGTTACAAAAAGAGACACCCAGACTACGATCAAGATGCAACTCTACCTCATCTCTCAAGATTATCCCAGCAACAAGTCACATCTACTTATGGATCAGTCCAACACTTGGATCTGCACAATTATGTGCAGAGTGTAATATGAGTACAACCAATGACATGTACTCAGCAAGTATCATAACTAACCTCAGCGAGGTAATAGAAGGAAGAATTATCAACGATACTCGCCAATCACTTGTACAATTCATAAATCTCACAAGTACATAGAAATAATATGATCAAGTCATGAATCACAAATAAAATCACCTCGGTGGACAAGATAAATAATACGCTCTGCTCAGTAAACAACCCAGCATATAGAGAAGATATGCAAAAAAGGCATGTGTACACTCCTGGTCTAGCATATAAATAATGTATACAAATAAAACATGTATACAACCAAGGAAATTTCAAGTAAAGGAGAAACGCAATAACCAAACACTGGCCATTTTTTCTCATACCACGTGTACACCATCAAGAGAGAAACATGATAGGCTAACCCTAAGGGGATAGATCTTTATCCACACGCTGGACGGATAGCTCACGTGCTGCACGAACAACTCACATGCCAATAATATCAACCGTACGGACAATTCACGTGCCAATAATAACAATATTTCATATCTGTATGGAATACTCATGTGCTATTATATGTCCACTGCAGGGACAACTCACATGCCAAAAAATCATAACTACACGGACAACTCACGTGCCAATAATCCCAACCGCACGGACAACTCACATGATATCACTCCAATCCATATTACACAGAAGGCAGATATATAAGATCACATGTACATGAACAATGAATATCAAATTTCATATTCCTGGACTGGTATAAATGACATGCTATAGAGTATGTATGAGCAAAGTGTGCTACCATAGCTCAAATTAGGCAACAACATTAGGAAAGTAGCAATTATAAGGTTCAATCAGGAGATTAACCTCCATGTAACGTCAAACATGGTTCAAATAGCTCACAAAGGGGTACAACCATAAGAAACATAACAACATAAAGTTTAGCAATCCATTCAAGGCATATCATAGCCTAAGCACTACTCCGAGCATGGATGATACCCCGGTGCATGCACATAGGCTCAACCCCTCACATGTACGCCACCCATAGCACGTAGCTATCACCATTAACTTAGGCAAATAGTGCCTCAAATATGTTTTGGAAAGATACTTACCTCAAAAAAGCTAAATCAATACTTTAAGAAGCCCTTCCCCCGTGAATCAAGATCCGGATGGCTCGAATCTAGCCAAAACAACTTAAAAATATCAATAGAAGCCAAAGAAAAAACCCCAAACAATAAAGCTATGATGACGCAAATATGCAAAGTCAATCCCGAGTGCCACGACCCGAAATTCATCTAGTCGTGATGGCACCTAACCCAACCACTAGGTAAGCACACTAATAGTCAACAAAACTCAAATGAGAACAATAACAGTTAGTGATTACAATAACTGAACATCTATAAACAAAATCCCAAAGACTGGTAGTACAAGTCATGAGCCACTAAGACTTAGATTTATAAAAATGATATGAAATAAGTACATAAACAGAATTCAAATATAAAGCTACCAAGGATAAGTAGTAGCTATATCCGGAACGCACGTACACCTTCAATGCCAGCTCCCGTCGTCCGCAACATCTTAGCCCCAAGATCTACGCGCAAGGTGCAGAAGTGTAGTGTGAGTACAACCGACCCCATATACTCAATAAGTATCATAACTAACCTCAACGAGGTAAAAGAAGCAAGAAGTGTTGTATGAGTACAACCGACCCCATATACTC